TCAACATCTTTTTTACATCGTGGTGACCAAAACTGGATGCAGTATTCCAAGTGTGGCCTTACCAAGGCATTGTAAAATGGTATTAACACTTCATGTGATCTTGATTCTATCCCTGTTAATGCAGTCTAGCACTGTGTTGGCTTTTTTGGCAGCTGCAGCATACTGCTGGCTCATATTTAAGTGACTGTCCACTAGGGCTCCGAGATCCCTCTCACAGCTACTACTTACTATTGAGCAAGGTATCATCCATACTATATCTGTGCATTTGGTTTTCTTGCCTAAATGTAGAACCTTACTTTTTCATCATTGAATTTCATTTTGTTAGATAGCGCTCAATGTTCAAGTCTGTCAAGATCCTTCCGTATCTTAAGCCTATCTTCTGGATTGTTGGCTATTCCTGCCAGCTTGGTGTTGTCTGCAAATTTGATGAGTTCTCCATCTATCCCCTCATCCAAATCATTGATGAAGATGACTGAATCTTCATTTACATGCTACATTAATACAGCTGATTTCCAGGTATGGCTCAGGTATATGGGAGACTCATGATAGGGAGCCTGGCGGGTTTCTTAAGTAGTGGGCCGAACAGCAGCTCTCTTCAATTAAGTCAGAAGTGATATTACATTCCCATAATGATGTCACATCAGAGGCAATTAAATTAACTTCTTAGAAAAATTGGGCCACATTTTGACATAAAGGCAGGTTTCAGCAGCCAACCTTTCCAAGATCTTGGGGGCCCGGCAGCTGCTCATAAAAGTCAGATATCCAGACTGACTCCACAACAGTGCCTCAGGAAGAGATTTCACAGTGTAGATGCCACAACTAGAAAGATTCTCTCTTGTTCACTAAGGACAGAATGAAATGTCACAAATGACAATAAGTGGGTAATAGTTAACTCCAAGAATGATGGTATCACATTACATGCTAAGTATTTCTAGATACCATAGGGGTGAAAGGAGGAGAATATGTGAGACAGCTGTCTTTGTTGACAAACATATGTCATTTGTGCAGACTATTTTCTTTCTAGAAGCAGGAATTCCCTATACATGTTTATTTCAAGAGAACAGTTAGGAAGACCTTGTATTTTCAATACTCAAATTAAATGAAGAACTTTACAAAATAACAGCAAACAAATCTGAACCTTATTTTATCCACATGCCTAAACTGTACTTCGTTTTTTGAAAACTATATGCCTGAAACCTGCAAAAACCTGTGTTTATTGCCAATTAAATGATTTTCTGTCTTAAGTGAAGCAAACTTTGTTTGTTAGAAGTGTGTTATTTGACAGATGTGCAGACCTGACAAGCAACAAAAGTGTTAATAGCAAAAAATTATATTCTAATAAATAAAATTATAATAATTCTTGCAGAAAGCAAAGATTACATTCAAAAGTCTATCATCAATCTTAGGTTAGGTTTGGGATTTAGGAACCAGCATATGCACCAGGTAACTTTTTGTCTCACATCCAGATTGACCATGCTAATTCTGTGGTGCACAAATATTAATGGCAGGTAACTGAATCCAAAGCCTCAACCCCACCCATTTTAGTTTTTCTGCAGTGACATAACACAGGTTGCAGAAAATATTATTTTTACTAGCAAAACAATAAAAACAAAGAGATCCTAACCTGAGACATTGGAACCATTAAACCAGTGTTTCTCAACCTTGACAATTTTAAGGCATGTAGACTTCAACTCCTAGAATTCCACAGCCAGCATTGCTGGCTGTGAAATTCTGGGAGTTGAAGTCCACATGCCTTAAAATTGTCAAGGTTGAGAAACACTGCATTAAACTAAGGCAAAATATGAGGTCAATTCAAACATGATGTAGAGGAAGGTCTGAATTTACTATGCAGTGTACTCTAAGAATTGGTAGATAAAGCTGCCCAAAATGAACTACCAGGTGCTACATAGTAACTATGTTCCTTCAACTACATTGTGCAATCCTGAAGATGAGATAACTCAGCAACTGAGTAAAGGATATTGTACAATATTAAAAAGCCATGTTTGGAACATTAATAATCCGAGATGCATACTTGAAGTATCAGGATTGGAATCAAAAAGGTCTATGTTATAGGCTTAAAGGATACTATGGATTTCTCCTTTCAGGAGTAATCAATTATTTTTGTTATATTTATGTTCTAGTTTTTATGTAGCATTCCCTATTCCAAATATTTTTCATAAGAACCCTGGGAAGTAGGTTGAACTGAGAGAGAACAACTGTTCCGGAGTTACCTAGAAAATGTTCACGGTTGAGGAAAGACCTGAACCTAGATCTTCTGGTCCTAATCCAACATTTTAATCACTACATCACATTGCTTCAGGCCACTCCAGAGGGTTCTCCCAAACAATGAACAGCTTTCCAGGGGGTTTATACCAAGAAGCTTTGACATGTATATAATTCCTATGTATCTCAACTTATATCGCTATATTCGACAAATGCAGTATGTTGAAAACGGCCTTTAAAGTTTACTATTCCATATAACAGCTTTGTGTCTTAGATCAGGGGTCCCTAGCCCCCGGTCTGTGGACCGGCACTGGTCCACGGCATGCCAGAAACCGGTCCACACAAACAAGCAAAGCCCCATCCACGGGATGCAGGAAGCACACAAAACCATGCCCCCTCCAGTCGGGGGGGGGGGAACCTCTCTCCACAGAATCAGTCCCTGGTGCCCAAAAGGTTGCGCACCTCTGTCTTAGATGTCTGTGTGTATTCTTTCTTTGAACTTTAATTCTTTCAGCTATTATTTGTACATCATCTTGACCATCCAATTCTACAAACTGCTACCTGGGTATACTAATAAAATGAACCAAACTCCAACATATGGCCAGCTGTCCCCGAGATTGGACTTAACCTCAGCTGGGCAATAGCTATCATGTCCATCACAGTTTAGCTCTTGTACAGAACACAGGTTAGGACACTTGAATGCCCCTCCATCTTACAGGTTTTATTCACTCACATGAGTCATGATATCCTTTAGGTCTAATAATAAACAAAAGCACAGCTCATCTACCCAGAATAAACTGGGATTTAGTTGCATTGCATGCCATTGTTTATTCTGCTATACCTAACTAATTTTATAGGATCAGACTTTCAGGACTTTAAATTATAGAACAAGCCCTGAAAATAATGTCTTCTAGGCAAAATAGGGAAGAGAATTGGGACATAGATGATTATCAAAATTTCAGTAACTTCAGCCAAAATACTCTAGCTGCATCAGTGCTTGGGGATAAATGTTACTCACTTATTGTAAAACTTATTCTAAATGCTAACTATTTGACACTACCCAAAAGCAAAACAGAAAGACAAAACAGGATTACTTTGGATTTTATCATACAACAGTGAAATGTTTATGGTTTTGTGTACTACAACTCCCTTAGAAATGCACATCTTGCAACAATCAAGTATGTCATGTATAATGTTTCTTGCACTCCTATCCTAGACATTCAAATTAAAGATAGACCCTGAAATTACACTAAAATTGTGATAAAATAATACTGCAACTAAAGTGCAGTAAAGGGCAAGATTCAAAACAGATTGAGCAGTCTTCAAAATGTAAGAGCTCAAACTTTGTCTGATTTAGAAAGGGCTCAATAACCATACACATGCCACAAATAAACATGAAGGAGTTTGGTGCAATCCTGTATGGAATGACACCTCTTTCAATAAAGCAAGTTTTTTTTTCCTTCAAAAAATCCAGGCTTAGGTTAAAGTTGTATCTGTTCTCCTTTGTAAACTGAGAAATAACCTCTTGGCAGGCTGCTTATTTTATAACGTGCTTGGTGACCTCTGTTGGTGCCTACAACTGCAAGAGCATCACCCTGCTCTCCCCATTGACTATGAAATCATTGTATTACAGAACCTCACAGACTGGCTGGCGAGACAGTGCCCCTAGTCAGTTATAAATATGCTGTTTTGTTTTGGTCAGAAGATGGGGAGGAGATGGACAGGAAATGGGAAGAAGAGAAAGTAGCTCTGAGGCTCCTTTAAAAGTCTCTCTCCCTCTCTACGATTAAGTTAACTCTACCTAAAGAAAGGTCTGGCAAGAAGCAGTCCGATATAGTTCCTTGTTCACGGATAGACAAAGTCACGCAAATTAAAAAAAAAAAAAAAAACAACCCCACAGGGAACGATGCAGAAAACTGGACAATGTGTATTTATTTGAGGGAGGGCGTGAGCGAGTAAGACACAATTACGACCCTTCACCTTCCGGGAGATATTTGGAGCAGACGGAACCCTCTGCAAATATCTATTTTGAACTGGAGCCCCACTTTTGAATTCACAAAACACCTTTCTCAAGAGTCTCTTCACTGCCGTCCCGATGAAATTAGAAGAATATTGCAAAATACGGCGGAGTGGCTGGGCAATATACAGAAGAGGTTAACCAACCGACTCCTTTTGATTCTCATTGGGCATTTTTATAAACGGGGATCTGTAGACTGCAAGAAGGGGATCAATGATTTCCTTCACTAGCGTGTTGTTAATTTACAATACAAATGCGGGTTCGCGCGCGCCAGCGCGCGCGCACAAACACACACATCCATAAACAGAGTAAATAGCCAGCGAACAGAGGGGATCTCTCTATGGAGTTTGCAAACCGAGAAAGAAGGAACTGTTAAACCAAATACCCTCCCCAGAGTCCATTTCCAGTTGAGGAGCTTTTCTCCAGCAGCGGAGTTCACGTGTCTTAAGAAGGAAGGAAAATAAAAATCGAAATTCGTGCAATAAAGCAAGCTGGGGGGCGCGCGCACGGGTCTACTGCGCTCTCTTGCCAAACAAAACATCCCACGAGCTACAAGTTACTTCGAGGCACCTCAGGTCGCTGGGGCATTTCACGGGGCGTCCATTAGCACGCCAGTGGCCTCAGCTTGAGCCCGGAAGACAGGTCATTTCATCCAGAGTTAAGACTAGCGAACAGCGAGAAGGAGGCACGAGGAGCCCAAAGGAGACGCTCCGTTACAGTTTGGCTAAGGTTTGGAAAAGACCCGGCCGGCGGCACTTACTAAATTGCTTCGCGGGACTCGGCGCGGCTTCCTCCGGCAGCGAGCTGCTTCTTCTGTCGAGCTCGGGCTGTTGTCTTCCAGTCCGCCCCGCCCCAGGGGCAGGCCAGACCCGGTTTTCCCTCCCTCCATCTTTTTCTCTGTATACAAGAGGCGGACGTTTAGTCGGTGCGATTGCACGCGGTTGGCGTTGCAGGCTTCCAGAGGAGGGGAGGGGAAAATGAGAAGGACACTCCTCCGGCCGACCCATCCATGCCGTTTCCAGGGAACGTGCTTCTCCCTCCCGCTAGCCCGATTCTATTGGTCGTTTGCCCCAAAGGGGAAGCTTAGGGTCCCGGTTCCAGATTTGGCTGTGGACCTGTTTCCTACTGGACTTTCCTCTTCTGAACTTTGAGAGAGTGGCTGAATTCGCACATTACGCCAATGCATAACTAATCATGGTTTCTTGATTAAGCTATAGTGGCTGGATTCACACGTCCACACTTAGCCTGGGATACAAGATACGAAGCTGAAGCCAGATGTCTTAAATACCTGCAATTCCGAAGGAAAGTCTTCCTCTAGATTTTTTTTGCGTTTATTCGAGTCCAAGTTAAAGCAGTTTTGTGAATGGAGCCCTGCTCAATGTAGGAAGAAATGCAAGCTTTTGAATATTACAGCAGACAGATAATTCAAACACACAAACAGTTTTAGTTAATTGTTTTCTATAGCCCCGATTTCAGACAAATGACTCTGAGCAGCAAACAATCAAAACAATTAAATACAATTCAATTAAATACAAAAATAAATATATATGGCAGCCAATTCTGCCTAGTACAGGTCCCTCTTCCTGAAATTAAAATTCAGTATGGCATCTATTTGTCAATAATCAAACTTTTGCTAGAGCCTTACCAATTTTGGTAAAATTTGGAGGACATTCACAGTAAGTTATTCATCTTCTCTTGGGGAAAGGAAACTGGCATGAAACTGGGACTCTGCATTTAAAAGTCATTACTGTTGAAGCTGCTGCTATTAATATCTAATTTCATGGTTAAAATGGGAAAGTGTTTACAGTATTAAAAAGAAAATAGTGTCAATGCTCTTTGGTGCTGTTATCATGAAGTTTGGTTGCCAGTTTGGGATTCCAAAGAGTACAGTTGTATAATGATTTTGCAACAATAGATTGAGGGTTAAAGTGAATCCTCAGCTGTTTTATGGTTCTGCCATCTAAACTGCAGTTTTCAACTTGTCACTAGAATTTCAAATTAGTATATAAATCTACCGTATTCTGAGTAACTCGTTGTAAGCTGACTTTTCAAAATAAGGATCTAATCTACGGCTTTATTTTCTGTATAAAAATAGTCTTTAAAACGGGTGTCAAACTGCCAGCCTGCGGGCTGGATGTGTCATGGTGAAACTGCACCCACCCCATTGCTGGCAATGGAAAAAAAGTCCTGATGCGTCGCGACATGTCATTGTCACGTGACATTACAAGTTTGACACCCCTGCTTTAAAAGGGGTGACTCTTAACTTTTTTAAAAAAAAAATGTGAATATGACTCTTTAGAATGACTGAACCTACTGTAGCCTTTGGCCAGCATACTGTACATCAAGAACAAGGATGCAGCAGGGAAGGAGTTTCTGTTAGAATTTATTGTCAAAATTATAATTTCCTGATTTGCCCTTAGCTATAATTTTCAGATATATTTTGAATGAAAAATCATTGATTCACACATAAATGTAATAAATAAATACAAATCATTTATTGAAGAACTTATTTGCAGCAAGGAATGTAAAAAGTGTTCTGCTCCATCATATCAGTATTGACCAGCCTACTTGGGAATTAGATGCCAAAGTTGACATAATGTTAATTCTTTAATTCTATTTCAAAGTCTTGAAAATAGTATCGTGCCCTCTGTCCACAACTAAAGCCAATTGCATAAGTACAAGTTTTAATTTAAAGAATGTTTATCTTTTGAGAAAGTTGTTATAAATATAACAAAGTATATGGCCAACAACTCACTTGAATGAGCAGCTTTTTATTCTTTAATTTTTCATTTAAGGGCGCTTTTCTGGATTTCTTCTCAACCAATTATGATATCTAAATCTTTAAAAACACTCTTATTCCCAATGTCTGTGAGTGAGGGATTTGAATTTCCAGGTAGCTTTTTATCACAGCTGTTGACATTGGAAAACAAACTATAATTCTAAGGTGATAGGACATGATACTATCAGCAAGCATGCAATATCAGTAAGCATGCAATCCAGGAGATTTCACTTGTAAGATGGTTGAGCTTGTCTTGAGAATTTTCTAAGAAAGCTCATAAATATAGAAGCAATTTCATATCTCTTTGGAGGGCTTTCTTATTCTTGTGTTTCTATGTGAATGCTGAAACACTCAGCCAGAAACCTCCTAGAGACTAGCAGTGTTTTTCATCTTAGGAAAACAATCAGAAGGAGTACAGTATACAGCTGTCCTTTTGCTGCATATACCAACATCATGGGTAAAGCATGGTTCCATATATGTAACTCTTAAGTTACATAGAGGGGTGTGAGGGCATCCTCAATTAAATGCATATGTATGTGATATATATGTGATTAAGGAGGATTATTCTGATGCGATATAAATATACATTCTAATCAACTAGCCAGCTGCTTGTTACTGGGTCTGGATAGGAACACTAGCTGAATTTTCCTATAGCCCTAGAAAGAGGGGATGTTTTTTAAAACGTATCTCTCATCCTGTCTCCAGAAGTTGGAGGATGGGGCTCTTTCCCAATTCCCAGAGGGCTTCATGGCTGAGTTGGGATATGTCCATATCTTCATAGCCTTAGTCCAACAATACTCTGACTTTCATTAACCACTAAAGACAGCAACACTGCTTAATTCACATATAATATCAAGATGTGTAAAACCTCTCTCACTTTATTAATTAGTGATTTTAGATGAATGAAATACAGGTAAGTCCTTAATTCAAAGAGAAATGGGAAGAGCATGATAAAATTTAAGTTTATAGATCACACTTTATCTAGATTTAATAGCTATTGTATATGTAAAATTATCTTGTTTGTATATTCAAACTTTAAAATTCAATTAACATAACAGGAAAGGGATATGAAAAAATAAGGAGGAATTTAAAGCTACCTACCAGACTGCATGTAGTTTCTGAAAAAGGGTTCCTGTGTATCTCCTATGGGTACCCAGACTGTTTGAGTATCTGTGGATTACAGGTGATGACCATAATTTCCTTATTTTTCTCTCACAGCAAGCATCATTAAGAATCACTATATTTTCACTAACAGTGCCAATAAATCACGGTTATTTTTCTTTTATGCATCAGTAATTCCTTTCACTGCAAAAAAAAGCAGTCTTTTTCAGCAAAGGAATATGGTACAGGAAAGAGTGAGAAAATGGTGTGGATTTTTTTTTTTTTTTTTTTTGGATGAAGTTGGATGAAGGAATCTTAGGTGTACACTGATAGATGTGGCCTCAAAAGACCAACCTCAGCAGTGGATAGGGCTCTCATGTCCCTTGCCCTCTTTTTTAAGAGGAGACCACAAAAAAACATTTTTTTTTGTTTATGAACCATAGTTTTCATGGAATGGGAAGTCTGGTCATAGAAATATAGACAATTCTTTGGATTTCTTTTAAATTCAATAGCTTTTATAACTGAGCTAACATACCAGTATATATGGGAACTTGGATGGATAGCCAGCAGGAAACCCAGGGCTGTGGGCTAGGTTAGGAAATTTTAAAAAACAACAAGTAAACAACAATCCTGAAAGAAGGCAGAGACAACCTACTTTTATACTGTTTTCAAGAAAATGACATGAAACGGATCCACAAATTCACAAGGAGAAGTTTATTTTAAAGGAGATTTCATTATTTTAATATATGTCAGTAGAATCAGTGTGGTGTAAGTGAGACATGATTGAACTTTTTATTCACCAGTTCACCAGAAGTTTTTATTCAACAGTTCAGATTTGGCTAATATTTCCAAAAGTGCTGTTGTAGTCCAATTTTGCAGTAGAGCAAAATTGTGGTTAATGATGGAAGCTTATAGAAGCTTTATAAGGTTTTAGCCCAGTATTGCTATTCTGAGTGGCATTCCTCTGACACACAATCGCTTGCTATTTTACTATTTATCTAGAAATAATTGGGAATTGAACCTGGGGCCTTTGGCATGTAAAGCATGTGCTCCAGTACTGAGAAGTAGTATAGAGGTGTTAGAAGGATCCCTTGCTCAGGGGCTTTATTTTGCTTAACTATTAACCAAATATTAAATAGTCACATATTATGCAAACTCAGATAAATACAGTTATTATTGAAAATTGAAATTACCATTAGTTGTTCAGAATAGAGTAGCAAAAATATATCAGTTAAAGTCATTAGCTTTAGTAAGAATAATTTAAACATTTTTTTGAATTTGGTTGGAAGGCTTTGACCAATGGTGCCTAAATCATTTACAAAGCTCATGTGTATAATATATTTGTACATATTCCAACATAGAAAGTCCCTTTTTATGTCATGTCTCACTTCTTTCTAACTTTAGGATCAAGTAAAAGAAAAAGAGAAGAAAAGAAAAAAGAGATAAAAGAAATGATAAAGGAGGAATTTGTGCTCAATACTTTCTCCAGGATGTACTTACCCTGGCATTTTGGGCAAGAAGCCACAGAGACAGTGCCCAAATGGCTTTGATCCATGTTATTCTCACCTTTGAGAAACTGCCCCAGTCAGATTGTGTGTGGTGGAGATTCCCTAAAAAATGCCCACACCAGGGGCCGGAGGCATAGCCATGGGAGACCGGCCCCAGGAGGTCAAAGGCGGCCCATGGCTTTGTTGTGAAATCGCCAGTCAAAGCCCTTTATCTCACCAAGTTCTTACTCTCCTACTCATTCTTTGGGCATTTTGTAGGAGAACATTGTTAAAATGTTCCTTTTAACAGGCTGTATGAAACTATCCCCACTGATTTCTCCTAAGTAAGTAATAAAAGGAAAGGAGAGAGCAAAGAGCAGAGGAGGGGCACACCCATACAGAAAGGAACAACTGGACAATTAAAGAAAGAAAGGGGGCCCCCAAGGGGAGAACAAAAACAATTAACAATTCCAAAGAAGGAAAGAGAAAAGGCTTTGTTCTGGTCGCTATAGCAACAGCTGGGGCCAGGGGAGAAGGGAGGAGTGAGCATCAGCATTGAACACTTTCACTTTCCTTTCAGTCATTCCAAGCCTTTTCTCCCATCCTCCAACATTGACAGTAATGGTAGCGGCTTACATGTCCTGGAGGCAGATAGAGAAGTGCAGCAATAATATCCAGTCTAATAAACGGACACATAAACGCAAGATGCTTTTGACAAATTGGCAAGAAAAGCTAAGGGTTAGGATTGCTTGCACATTTTGGGGAAACTGAACACCAGTCCAGTGATTATCAGCATTTATTTTCAATCCTTTTCTTGTTATTGTGGCTTTGGTGACATTTTCATTCTGCTCCAAAGATCTGTTGCACTGAAAGATAATAACAGGTTTGAGGTGCTTGGATAA